CTCCTTGAGTACCCCTAGTGAGTCTGCCTTTCCAATGTTTAAATTAAAGACTGCAGATCCACGTGAATCTACTTCGATTATTTTGCTTAATCCGTGTCACACAGTACAACCTTTGCAATCAAATACAAGCATAACACCGGTCGTGATTAAGCCGGGAAGGGGAAGGCGCAGCGCTGCACAGAACGCTCAGCTTGCTGCTTTGACTAATGGTGATCAGAAGTGTTTTCAGTGCGCACATTGTGAGGCCTCCTTTCAAAATGCGGGCGATCTTTCCAAACATGTTCGATGTCACATCACCAATAAGCCATTCAAATGCGCCATCTGTGAGAAAACATTTACCCATATTGGCAGCTTAAATACGCACATTCGAATACATAGCGGCGAGAAACCGTATAAATGCGAAATGTGTCCAAAGGTAATTATAAAATTTTTTTTTTAATTAATGAACTTATGCCAAAATTTCNATAGCGGCGAGAAACCGTATAAATGCGAAATGTGTCCAAAGGTAATTATACAATTTTTTTTAATTAATGAACTTATGCCAAAATTCTAAAACTCCTCTAAAATCTTCTCTCTCAAAGGCATTTACCCAGTCAAGCAGCCTAATGGTGCACGTTCGTTCTCACTCCGTACGCAAGCCTCATCAGTGTCATTTATGTGATAAAGGTGAGTTGTATAACTTATTAAAACTTCTATTCATTTCGTTATTGAGTTTTAAAAATCTACATCATACATAGGCTTTATAAACTCCAGCTCTCTTGTGTTACATCTGAAGTCGCATGATGAAACTGAAGTCTTTAATTGTCCTGAATGTGACAAATCCTTTAAACAGGAAGATTTACTCGAGAAGCATTTACAAATGCATACACAAGAACTTGTCTATCAGTGTTCCATCTGCCATGAAGCTTTTCGCACTTCCTCTGAGTTAGTGCAGCACATGAAGTGTCACATGGGAGAAAAGCCGTTTACGTGCTCCATCTGTGATCGTTCTTTCACGCAATCTGGTAGTCTTGGTATACATATGCGCATTCATACCGGTGAACGACCGTTCCAATGTAAACTGTGCGATAAAGCTTTCACGCAGGCATCCAGTCTTAGTGTGCATATGAAAATTCATACCGGTGAAAAGTCGTATCCTTGTCATATATGCGGAAAATCCTATAGTCAACAGGCGTATCTCAATAAACATATACAGGCCCATCTGACAGCAGGACAGACTGATTCGACGGCGAATGCGGCCAGTAATTTACCGTTTCCAACTGGTCTCATGCAATCGCAGGAAACTCTCGTTTGTATAGTTTGTGGCGTGTTACATAAAGATGTAAACTCATTGGCATTACACGTTACACAGAAGCATGCTGTGCTGTTGAATAACAGTGTTCGCAGTGCTGCGGCACAAATGCAGATGTCGTCCGATAATGTCAGCGAAGAGGAACGTCGATTGCAGGAGCAACAGTACATGCAGCAACTGCAGTTAATGCTGCGCACCGCGAATGGCGGTGCTTTGCAACATATTGCAATGGATGTGGATATGGGTAATGGCGTAGTAAAAGTTGAAGTGGAGGAAGAGGAAACCGGAAGCTTTGAACCGGATAGAGAATATAAAGAAAGTGCACAATTACCAGACTTGGATATCATTAAGCAGGAATTCGACCCAGAATCTTTCGAGGATTATGGCGCTGAAGAAGAAGTGGAAACCGAAGAATGAATTATATTGTCTTTAAAAATATTTGTATAGAATACCGTATCCTGGCAACAATAACATTATATCAAAGGACGTAAATTTTGGTCAAACTCAGATAATTTATTTGCTATGCATTCTACATACATACATATATATAAATACTGCTGTTGGTCTAATTTTACATATTTAAGTACATGCATACATACGTGCATATTTTAATAATTAGTATATACACCAGCTTTGGCATTTTTTACCTGCTCTATTTCAGTATTGTTCGTATTTAATAATTCTTTACCTGTGTCCACAGCATGATTTTAAAGAAATACAATTTTTGCTTGCATACATGATGATCCCGATTTCATTTCGAATGTAAACTACTGATATACGGGGTTATTATTAGTTTATTTTGTGAATACACATACTTATTTTGTAGATATACATATATCTGAGGCAATTCTAATGCAAGATTTTATAATTTTTAAAGAAATGTGGTTAATTATAAAAGGGATTGTAGGTAACCCAATGTGCGCGTGATTGTTCTTTTTCGCTTTTATGTGTGGTAAATAAGGACTTGTATACATCGCTAGCCTTAGGGTCCTTTGCAACGCTGTAGTCGTTTTTCAAACGTTTCATCTCTGGATCTTCTAAAGCATCCTCAGCCGCACCTACACGTTTTAAATTGGCAACAAGTTTCATTTTTGTTACGGCTGCTGCAGTTTTGCTTGTTGAAGGTCCATTTGCACACAGCTTTTCTTTTTTAGTAAGCTTCCCGTTCGTTATGGTGCTTTTCTCCTCATTTATACCTTCTGTTTTATTCTGTTCCTGCTTTGCCGTCTCCTCTTTACCAGTGAAAGTTTCATTAATCTTCTTTTCCTTTTTCTCCTTCTTATCCTTTTTACAAGTCTTACGTTTTACATTACGCATCTCCATCTTAGCTTGCATCAGTTCCAAATCTTCATCTGCTGCATTGAGAATAACCACATCTTCGATACCAAAGGGTATTAAACAAAGAGGGCATGTGCTACCACCACTATTGTCACGTTTGATTTGCTTAATTGCACGCTCAGCTATGACGCAACCACAAGTCCACAACGCCACAAAACGAAATTTACCAGACATTTCAAGGCCACTTAATTTGCAAATATAACGAGCATGTCGTGTGTCCAGCAGACCCTCGGTTTTATCTTCATCAGTGTAAGCTGGATTTGGTGTTAAGTTGAGACTTTTTATATCTTTAAGACTGCGAATGTGTTTGATAGATTCAGGCATTTTATCTTTTTCCAATAATTGCTCAATGAGGCTTTGCTTGGAGTATAAACGTCCAAGGCTGCACATTACAATTGGCTCTTGTAAACGCTGTTGGGTAAGGGCACAATGTAGCCAACGAAACTCGCGTTCTGCATCTTTATCTTTCTGGAATTAGTGTGAAATGAGGAAATTAATGTTCAAATAGTTACACTCTAATACCAATAATAAGCCATCCATTGGCACGCACCTGTTCTGGTTTTTTAGCAGTCCGCACCAGCTCATCCCGACGCGGAATGGTACCTCCATCGCAACCCATTTTTTTCGACTGCGTTTAACCACGAATAAAAACTTTTAATCTAATTAATTGATCCACGAACTGTAAAAATTATTCTGCAAATCCAATATAGATACGAAATCGATCAGCAAATAAGCCATAAACAAACTGCTTCTTTATAAGCAAGGCATTCACAATAAACAAGTGATTTGCGAAGAAACTTCTACCTAGGCTACCAAATAAGCCACTGTAAATAGGGTAAATCGATACCTTCAAGGTATTACTCAAATCAGTACTTGTACTTGTATCAAACAAGGTATCGATACCTACTCAGTATCGGAAAGGTATTGAGTACTCGTACATAGAACTACGATTTTGCAGATATTTCAAAAATATTGAATTTGTTTCACAAAAAATATGCATTTTTACAAGATAATTTATCTTCTTATATTTATTCATACAAAAACAATAGATTACATTTTTACAAGATTAATAGATAAAGTTTTTTTGTAAAAAATAAGTTTAAGAAAATAACTCCTTTTTTGTCATATTACTCCAATAAACTCAACTTTTCCAAGTGTTTTCCTGAAAGGCGGTTTCGAGATTTAGATATACGGGCATGTTCTGAAATTCGAAACTTTGAACTCGACTTCATTTGCCAAATATTTTTTAGTTATATCTGATGAAAAGTGTGAATATTATGATTGAAAACCGTAAAAGAAGTTAATGCGATACGTTGAAATTTTCGAATTTTAGAAAATGCCTGTACCTGTTTTTAGAAAAGCCTCTAGCAAGGGACAGATGACCCAACAACCGTTATGTATAAACGGGCTCGCTTGTGTAGTGCGCATAGCTTCCCATTCTTCTAACGGGTGGCTTTTCAAAGAAGATGCTGAAGCATAGTAAATTTTGCGCTTAGACTGTGTTTATACACGGAAACTTTTGTCGACGCGATTTTTCACATTCCCTTTTGGTGTTGCTCGTTTCATTTACACACGGCGATTTGTGTGTATGCAATTGTTGTTGTCAGGTGCGAACAACGGTTCAATTTACACAGACGAACGAGAGCACAACGCGTGTTGCCCGAGCACGAGCAACTCGGCAACAAAAATCGACGTGTGTAAATGAGCACTTAAGATACAAGTACTTTTTTCGGTACCTAATTGGATCGCAGTAAAAAGTATCGAGTAAAAAACTACTTGGTAAATTGAGCAAAGTAGCGAGTATGTACTGGATTTACTTGTATCGATTTATCCCTAACTGTAAATGGAAAGCATGAACCAACGACTACAGATCACGTAATCCGCCATCGTTGTATTTGTAATCGATTTTCAGAAAAAAGTTTTCGTAGCGTTTTTGATGTTTTTTGGTTCTGTTTACATCGTCTTCTACCTCTTCGTAGTGATATTTTAGCGATTTTATGTATTTTCTGCAGCGGTTTTAATTAGAAATTTTGATTTATTACAAATTTATGATATAATATGAAGTGCTTTGTGATTGGAACAAGTTTGTGCGTCTGTTTGATTTGCCAAGAGGCGTAAATTAGCGTGAAAAGTGGGTGCACATTTGTGGTCAGAACGTTGGCATTGAAAAATCGGCCGGTGCCGATAATATGCGATTGTAAAACACTCTCAATCATTAAAACCATATTTTATGAACTTTTTTGCTAATTGTCATCAAGTTTCACTTTTTATATTTTATAATAAATACAAATCTAATCGCACTCAATAACCGCGCCTTTTTCGTTTTCTTTGTTTGTTTTCATTTTTAGGCAGATGTCAAAAACGCTCAGAAATTTACTTTTTTCATTCTTTTCCGATTGCGTGATCTTGTTAGTTGGTTCATGAATGGAAAGTAAAAATCAGCTGTTGCTTTCGATGTAAACAAGTGTGCAATTTTGAAGTTTTCGCTAAAATACGCTTTTAATTACGAACTATTTAACAAGACGTCTGCTAACTTCCCAAGGAGAAAGAAATATTATCAGCCAGAAAAGCAAGAGGAGATAAAAAAGCAGCGAATGATACGCTTCGCATCGTAGAGGAATAACCTGGCTTATGTAGCGCTCCACTTTGCCAACACAACCCAAAACCCAAAAAAACTAAAAAAAAATAATTACGAACTAATTTCTCTCCTACTGAAATTTTTACAATTACCGAACCATGCCTGAATACCAAAGTTGGACATTTCCACATATACCCGCGGAACTGGCGTAAGTAAAATACCTGGTATTAAACAATATTCGATGGCCTAATAATTGCTTGAATTAATTCATCCAGTGAATTGCTCTTCCAAAATGATGAGAAATTGGTTGTGGTGGGTGTTATAGGGAAATCAGCCTTTTCAGATAGCAATAAAATGGTTGCTATGGGTGTGTTGGATAGTCACCCTAGCCTTCTGGATCACCAACCACAAGAGGTAGTTCTGCAGCATCGTGTGTTTATATGTACCTATGTATATAGCAGGTATCTTTTAATTAGGGAACTATTCGGCTTTATTACAACCGAAAAAAGTCCATGTTGCTCCTGCACTTCGAAACTACGTTCGATGCAGCTTGTATGCAGAAGATGCTTGAGGAAGAATTAGCAGAGGATGCTTACGGTCATTTTCTGCTATTCAATCAGCGCGTACGCAATCGCTTTGCCCGAATGTTGCTCTTCGCTACACAAGTTTGCCACATTATCGTTTTCGTTGAACTAAGTGTTACTTTCGATGCATCCTTGTTGATGATCTTTAGAGCTCTGAAGATTATAAGGTTTGTACTGCTTAGCAGGCTATTGCTACTTTAATAAATATGGCTTTCCTTGGCAGGGACAAGTACATATTAAAGTTTTTGCCAAAATTGGTTAAAAACTCTAGCACTGGCACTTTTTTGGGAAAATCTGCACGTTTATGTTCACCGCGTGTGCTATTCCTTTTCGAGAATTACCCAGATGGTTACGGTAATAAAAATTGATTAGGATTTAAGTTTTTTTAAACTTTATGCTATTGAATTTCAGAGAAAACAAGCGAATGCATATCCAAACTGGAATTCGAGGTGGAGGATAGCATTTATAAAATGCTCCGTAATGAATTTATCATCACCAACAACAGGTGGGTGCCTTTTAATATATCTACATACAAATATATAAGCAGTTATTATTCTATTCATAATAAAACATTTGCAATCCCCAGTGCCATGTCGCTATTCTCTATACCGAGCAATAAGCGCTTTGTTTATTATAACACTGATCCTTCATTACGAGAAGATCCTTTGTTGAAATCAATAACAATGCTGCAAAGCTTTTTGCAGAAATCTAATTTTAAAGAAGACGATGAAGATGATCTTGAAGATTTGCGACCTTTCAAGGTATTAAAAGAGATATGGGTATAATAAATCATAACTATAAAACTGAATTTTTTTAGGGTTTCGGTAAACCGCTAATTCAATGCAATCCAGAACGAACTCAGCCAACTGTGGAAGAGATGTTTCTTAAAAAGAGAAATTTTATGGATTTATTGATGGATCATGTCGATGAAGCACTACAAATAGGCTTTGATGATAGTTCGACGAAATTCAAAGGCAAAAACCATTTTGTGGTATGAATCAGTATGAATACATATAATGTATTTAAAATCCTCAAAAATTCAATTGGTTTGCTGTTTTAAGATACTTCCAGCAAAGGCTTGGTATGAAACATTCAAAATGCTTCATAGAATTTTCATCGAAAATCCAGATAATCCCAAATTTGAGGCCAACGATGCAGATTATGTAAGATAGAATATTAAACTTAACTCTTAAAAGTCAGTTATACATAGTACATATGTATTTGTTTCAGAAAGCATATTTGGAGAATTTCAATAAAATTATGGACATCGATGACGAGTAAGTAAAATTTATACAAAACCCTGGGAGAAAATGTTGTGAGACATCTAATTAATTATTGCAGGTTCTTTAACGCTTGCTGTGATATAGGTTTGCAGAAAGCTTATGCAATGTACAACAACCCAACTTTGACGCACTACAGTAGCACAGTGCATAAAAAACTGGTAGAACAAACGTATTATGAAAATTAAAATGGTTATGGCTAAAATTTGTACTTTGCAAGGTTGAAGAGGCCGTTTCATTATATATGAAATATGCCCGCGGCACCCAGACCGTCATAAACGAGACTAAGCTGCGTGAAATGTGCGAACGATGCTGGCGAAACGGAAAACAACAATGCGAGATGCCAAGTCTACGTGGCAATCCATGCGTGCTCCCCAAACACATTGTTAAAGAACCGTCAGAACACAGCAGCGCACACGTATTTATCTCTACGTGCAATTGTGGTCGAACTCAGGGCCGGCGGGAAGATCCCTACACTATGAAGCATGCTAATTACGAATTCTATGAATATATGGCTAACAATTGCAATCTGTGCGCTAAAGTAAAAAAAGTTCATTTTCCAGTTTTTGAGCCTTCCATCAATGATTATAGGTTAGAGCAGACGAAAGGTTTATTTAAATTCATATAAAATATCCCTAATCCGNAAAAGTTCATTTTCCAGTTTTTGAGCCTTCCATCAATGATTATAGGTTAGTGCAGACGAAAAGGTTTATTTTAATTCATATAAAATATCCCTAATCCCAAATTTTATGAACAGAGCCGCCGAATTCGAAATTGCTTTTCCAAAGCTATCGATACATGACTCCATTGATTTCGCTGAACGTCATGATCTACGCTCTCCCGATTCTATTGACTCGGACGAGTGCTCTCAGCCACTTACTGCCTCACAGGGTACGCATACCAATCTTAGCCTGGTGTCCACTGACGAATTGGACAAAATTGCTGTTGATGATGGTGATATGCACAGTTCCGAAGAATCCCTTAATGAATTGGTTATACAGGTGAAAGATAAAGATGCACAGAAAGAAGAGGAGAAGGAGCGAAGCATATACAGGCAGCCCTCCACCACTGAATATCTGCCTGGTATGGTTCATACGGAATCGCCACTGGGATTGTTGCCGCGTTTTCCAAGTTGGTCGTTGGTATGTGTTGGGCCAAGCTCGGTCTACAGTCACAACACTGGTCTATTGGAACACTTTCAAAGTGGGTTTCTTTCGGGCGCAAATTTTTTGCTTCCCTGGGATGTGCATGTCCGCCTGGAACATTCTGCATCGTGGGCCTATGAAAAAACTCGGCTACGAAAGATGGGCGAGGTTTTCATACTGAAAATATTTGTTGGCTGCGAATATGAGTGCCCGCGCGGACACAGATTTATGATGAACTCACCGGATAAGGTATTACGCGGTGGATCAGGTATTTGCCATACAGTCTTCAATTACTATAGACTTCCTTATGTCATGCCCTNAGATTTATGATGAACTCACCGGATAAGGTATTACGCGGTGGATCAGGTATGGCAAAACAGTCTTCAATTACTATAGACTTCCTTATGTCATGCCCATATTGCAGGAATACTTCGCGACAGTGGCAGTAAAATAGTGTATAACAATATGCCGCTGTATTTCCCTTGTCCCTGTCGTTCACATAAGGCGGATGTGGCTCAATTAATGCGCGTTCATGTTGTAACTCCAAAAGCGCCTGTAAATGTTATTTTAGATCCGAGGGTATGAATCTGATTCTAATATAATTATGCGTCCTTAATTTCATTGCATCCTCTTAGGTGCGTACGGGAGAGCGCGATTATATTTTCACCATGGGTCTACCTAATCCTCCAAAACTAACTCAAAGTGCTTATTGGATTTTACGTCTTCCCTACGTGTATCAAGGAGACGAAGGTCCAATAGCACCACCCACCGAAATAACTGCAACCAGTGCAATCAATTATGGTTGCCTACTAGCTGGTATGTTTGGCGTAAGCGAAACGGAAGTAGATGACTGAAAAATCACGCTGTCTACGTAGCCGGAGCAATTTGAATTTTTAACCGGTCAAGGAGTGTGATTTCAACAGCTTTCCCACAAATTTATGGGAATGTTTTATGTTGTTGCAGAAAGCGCGAAAGTATAATAATGCAAAATCAGCTACATGGTTATTTTGTAATCTATATTTGTACGTAATTTTTTTTCATTGNCTGGTATGTTTGGCGTAAGCGAAACGGAAGTAGATGACTGAAAAATCACGGGTTGTCTACGTAGCCGGAGCAATTTGAATTTTTAACTGGTCAAGGAGTGTGATTTCAACAGCTTTCCCACAAATTTATGGGAATGTTTTATGCTGTTGCAGAAAGCGCGAAAGTATAATAATGCAACATTAGCTACATGGTTATTTTGTAATATATATTTGTACGTAATTTTTTTTTCATTGAAAAAAAAAAACAGATTACGTTTAGTTTGTAAAGATAAAAGAAAATAATCAAGATTTATGTCACTCGTGCATGATTAAAAGAAATCGTTGCGATTTTATCCTAAATACTAACGATTTGAGTTTCCTTTACAGCTGGTACTACGGATCCATATATTAGCGCATATTTAATTGCGCTAACTTCGTTTGCAGTTATAATCTAAATATTTTCTGGTATTGAATCTTCACAACGATTTTTGTTCTTCAGAAGGTATGCTGCCAAGAAACTTATGGGGTCTGGTGGCCGTTCACGAGCCAACGTCTGCAATCCGTGTAGTAATATCGGTGCTACTGTTTGGTCTAAATATTGTCGGGTGGGCAGTGAGCTCAGATCTGGACGTGGCTTCTTACATTGAGTTGCCGTAGACAACTGTTGATTTGTTCCGTTAGCGGCTGTGTCGGTAGGAGCTTGCTGATCGGGTGCCAATTGCGGCGTGGCTGATCTATCATTTCTATCCATTACTTCTGCAAACAAAAATATATTTGTAATGGGGATACACTTCCTTGTATGTACATATTTACCAACCTTCGTCAAAAATATCTAAGAATAATAAAACACAAACAATAGCTAACGAAATTTTATATTTCCGACGATTCAGTTCATATGCTTCAGTTTTTATTTTCGAGATTTGATTTAAAAATCAATGCCAATCTAAAAAAGAGCCCGAGTACATCAACGCAGAATTAAATTTTTTTTACCTCGGAGAATTCACAATGATTGTAATGCGTGGTACACATTGGCGATCAAAATCGACAGTTTTTTTTTGCTCAAATTTCATTTCCCTGTATGACCATGTGACCACACGTTTTCGTCAGTCAACATCGAACCGCAAAAAATTTTCAAATATTACAAAAAAATGTATACACAGTTTTACCCAATTCGCCACTTAATTAACATGCAAATATAGAAAATGCTTTATAAAATTTTTAATTGGTTTTTTTCATTTTTAATATTTTTGTCACGCTAGATTGGAAATGCCCAAATGTACTTCACCTAAAGCGCATCAAAACGAAATTAATAAAATAAAACTATGTTCACATTACCAACATAAAATACTTAGTTTCGTTTAAAATACCTCACTAAATTAAGCGCGTTCATACACGCGATTCTTTATTTGTCTTGACAGCTTTGTAGCAACCCTGTGTTATTGTTTATTTAACCAAAAGAGATCGCGAATGTGAGTAATTGCGTATATTTTTATATTCTGAGTTGTTTGTGGTAATTTTTTAGAATTTAGATGAGTGATAAAAAGAGAAAGCTTCTGGAAATATTTTACAAACTACCACGCGCGATTATTAAAAACAAAAACGTCCAAACACAATGACATATCAGTTATGGGACAATACTTTTTTCGATTATTATCGATAAAATTAGAACCGACACTGATTTGTTCGTGATGTGGTTCTTGGTTTAAGATAAACTACGTACTTTCAACTTAATTTACTGAGAGACTTTACAAGGCGAAATTACTTAGTTTGTACTTAATTTATGCGTAAATTAAGATTGACCTCTAAATTACGGCAATGGGAACATAGTTTAAAATAATTTTTAATTGAATATGTTATTAACCACTTTAACTTTGTAATGTACATTTAGGATGCGATACGATAAAAGGGTTCTGGTAAAGTCTGAGCGATCAATCGGCATCGGCTAGTATCGGCACAAAATTGAGCATCGGCATCGGCCTGTTTTCGTCAATTCTTTGCCGATTATTTGGAATTTATTTTCATATGTTCAGGTGAAGTGAAAGACAACAGCCAACATCAAAAAGCATTTGCAGATAGCTCATAAAAATTATTATTTTTTTGCTTGAAGGTGTTTCTACGTTTTCTCTATATAAAAGTAAGTTCGACAATTTTTTTTTTTTGGAGGATACGGTCAGCAAAAAAAAAATCCTAAAAATTAACGATATTTGAAACTTGCACTTCATTTTACTAGAATTTAATGGCCTACAAAACTGCATACCGAAATTCTGATTAAAAAGTTTGAAATTTTGGTGAAAATAAGAAGGATTTTTCTAATTTTCGTGCAAAGTTTTAAATCTGAATTTATATGGTGCTTGTTGTATACCAGCTAAACTTGTATAAAAAAATAATAGACATTAAATATACAAAATACAAATGCCAAATGCCAAAACCGGTAAAAATATCGCAATTCTTTTATTTTGTGGACCACTATATGTATGCACATACATATCTAGCAAATAAGTTCTTATGCATTGAGTGCAATAGAGTGTATTTTAGTACAAAACGAAATGAAATTTTATGGATTTATTTATTTATTTATCTTTATATTTTATATATTCAACAATTTTTATGAGCTTGAGGCCGTTTAAAGTTAAGTAAAACTTATTGTGGAAAAGCAACAATAATTTGAAAAAATGGTAGGAGGGATAGTTATTTCGGAAATCACCACATTTCCTCATCAGACTTCTTTCAGTAGGATTATAAATAAATTTATAAAATATATGCACGGGGCTGAGCTACGAGGTCATGTTGCTCCCGAGTTGTTGTGCTCTCATTAAAGTTATAAGTGGTGTTTTTTTAAGGCTTCGTGGATGAACTTTATGGTGTTTTCATTACTACGTTATATGTGTATGTAATGTTGCATAACAAGTCAATTAATTCAATTATTTGTTTCCTTTCATTTTGTTTTTATGGAATCGGCCTCGGCATCAGCATCGGCCGATTCTTTCCCCATAAGCCGATGAATCGGCATCGGCATCAGTACCAGAAAATAAAATTGGAATCGGTCGGCCTCTAGGTTCTGCTACTCGATCCCGCAAAATATCGTTTCAAAACTATCGAGTAAAAAGTAACGGTATCGAATGCCAAAAATATCGATATGGTGTCGTATCGTATCGAAATTCGTGTTCCTAATAGGTGCCCATTTACACACGGCGATTTGTTGCCGCAACTCGACGTTTGTGGGAGAGAGCGTGACGAGAAAAGGAGAGGGGCACCGACTTGCTCGTGCTCGGGCAACACGCTTTGTGCTCTCGTTCGTCTGTGTAAATTGAACCGCTGATCACAGCTGACAACAACAATTGCATACACACAAATCGCCGTGGGTAAATGAAACGAGCAACACGAAAAGGGAATGTGAAAAATTGCGTCGACAAAAGTTTCCGTGTATAAACACAGTCTAGAGGCGACAGACTATCGATAGTCGCGACCAAAACGAAAGCATCAAAAATATCGACAGTGCTATCGATAGTTTGTCACAACTGGTCTGTAATTGTCATTTCATTAGCCATCCATTAAAAAGTGGAAAATTCTGTTTCCACGCATATTAGAACAAAATTGTGTTAAAATAATTCAAGAGTTGTTTACAATAGAATTGGCAAGATGACAGAGCTGCTAATAGATCCACATATACGCGTCTGGGTTTTCCTGCCCATAGTGCTCATCACATTTTTTGTGGGTGTCATACGCCACTATGTCTCGGTGCTAATATCATCACAAAAGAAGGCCGAAATTACACAGATTCAGGATAGGTAGGTCATTAAATATTCAAACATTTGTTTTAAAATTATCACCATTACCGGTACAAATAGCCAGGCGATGATACGTGCCCGTTTGCTGCGTGAAAATGGAAAATACCTAACAGCTCATTCGTTCGCGATGCGAAAGAATTTCTTCAACCACGAAGAAACAGGATACTTTAAAACACAGAAACGCGCACCAGTGGCACAAAATTCCACTGCTATGCTAACGGATATGGTGAAAGGCAACTTCATCAATGTACTGCCAATGGTGATTATCGGTGGCTGGATTAATTGGATGTTTTCAGGATTTGTCACCACTAAAGTGCCTTTTCCGCTGACACTGCGCTTCAAACCGATGTTGCAACGCGGGGTAGAACTTGCTTCCCTGGACGCTGCCTGGGTATCGTCAGCATCATGGTATTTCTTAAACGTCTTCGGTTTGCGCTCTATTTACACACTTGTGCTGGGCGAAAACAATCAGGCAGATCAGACACAGGCGCAAGCAGACGCCATGACTGGTGCAGCAATGACAATGCCGCAGGATCCGAAAGCAGCTTTTAAAGCTGAATGGGAAGCTTTGGAAATCACAGAGTATCATAGTGCATTGAAAAATGTAGAAAAGGATCTGCTGCATTATGCCTTCGGTGGCGAAATATCGCTGGAGAATAGTGTGCGGCAGTAACTATACCATTTTAATATTTAAAGTATTTTCATTTTAGCTTTGGTATTTAATTTTATCCTGCCGTGCGACCAGGATGTTGGTGACTAGCGAAATACTGTAAATTTAGACAAATTTCGTAAAGAGAATAAATCGGTTTTATTTGACCAAAAGCGAATAATACTCTATGAAATAAAAAACAAGCTACGATAATTTAGAGTCACCCTTACATTAATGTATATAAATAGTNCCAAAAGCGAATAATACTCTATGAAATAAAAAACAAGCTACGATAATTTACGAGTCACCCTTACATTAATGTATATAAATATATCTATGCGACGCCTTTTCAGGGAGCTTTCAATCCTACTTATTTGAGGACTTCAAAACTAATATCAATAGTATTTTTCCATGTCAGTAGGCAGTTCGGAAGCAGATGTTTCGCCACCAGGAGAGCCGGCTCGTTCAGTTGTAGCTGCTGATTTGGCTGGAGATGGCGGACGTGCGGCAGGCACTTTATATTCACGTGCTTTCTTTTTCTCCGTTCGCTTGGAAACTAAACGAAATTCATTGGGTAATTCTTCCTCAGAATATAGGCGGTCTGTAAAGTAAATTCGCCGTATGCGCACGTTGGCATGTATCTGCAGACGCACTGTTTCCAAGTAGTTGGTGCCGTAAGCACGGCGCGTGAAGTCGGCTAAGTTAAAGTGTATTTGATTCCAGCCCGGGGACATACCCATTGGCATAGCGGTGCAGAAGGGCTTGACAGACGTTTTACTTTGGAAATTTGAAACGCGGAAGCGGCGCATAAAACGTTGGTCATCTAAAATCTTTTTAAAGAAAGGGTGGAATAAAGAAACATAAGTTCTCCGTTTCCATGCGCTCATATTCCTTAAGGGGACTCACTTTAACTTCGAATGTAAAATATTTGTGTAGGTTTTTAATAAGCAACACTAAGAAGGGTAATTTGATCCCAAAGGACATTTTGGGATCTCGTGGTCCTGTGATGTAGGTGGTGGATACATTTGAACCTATAATTTCCATAACCACGGACTTGACATCCTCATCTACGACGCGTTTGATGTAACCGTTTTGTATCTAAATAAATATTGTACTTTTTCAATGAACTTTTTGCAGAGATTTTAATAAAAAACTTACATGTGTGGACCAGAATTGTAACGGACTGCTACCTAGGCTGTAAAACACAGAGAAGCAACCTTTCTGATGTCGACTTCGAAACATTGATGGCTATTAAAAGTGTATGACAATATTTTAAGTTAAGTATCTTATTCCTCGAAGCGTGTTGCAGTTTCAAAAATATTTTTTTTTATGAATATAGATGGAAAAGTTTTAAAAATGTTTGACAACTTTCAAATGTAAAGACAACGCTTCACAACAAGAACACACATACGAAAATTTTTTCAAAAACGAAGGGCCAGAGCTCTTTGTTTCATCTATAAAATGTGGGTTTGTTTAATATATTCCTTTCCAAATACTAGATCTAATTGAAAGGATGAAGGCACTTAGGGATCAGAATTACTATATCCCATGCTAAAACTTATTCAGCCTTATTCCATGTGAATAAATCGTTCCCATAATTTAATAGACAACAAATTTGTAAAATTTTTATGTTTTGCTTTATAATTTTTTGGTTATATGCATTTGTTCACATTGAATTCACGATATGGCCGATTGAAATACGATCTAAAAATCAAATTTTGGCTTCGAAATGATAACAGCTTCAGTTGAGAATCGCATACATACATAGATGTATAACGTTTCGGCGACTTAAAATCTACCCATTAAGACAACTACCAGTTAAAGTACCTATGATGTAACTCAGAACTCGCGTATGTGTAAGTGTTGGTTGTGCCAGAAATTCTTTCAATGGACCCGTATGAATAAAAAATAAGCAATTGCTTTATCATGAAATTTCAGACCTTTTACCTAAGTTTATTTGAATAAATGGAGTAAAACTCTAAAATGTCAATTCAAAGAAATTGCCTAGTATTTATTCATAAGGCCCAATGTAGTGGAGTTTCGGTTAGACGCGTCTTGTGATTGTACAAGGTTTAAAAAAGAAACCAACGAAACGAAGTTTTAAAATGTACGATAGATTTCAGGAATTCAAAATGCGCCGTTCACCCTAGGTGGTAAATTAAAGGCTAATTTGCATTTGCATTGATTTATTACTATTAAACACATGTTATACCAATTCAATTACTATGGTAGTCATATTAAATGATTGAATAATCGATTCATAGAATTCAAGTCAACGACGGTTACCGCCACCGCCTCCGCGGTTATAATTTGAACGTCCGCGATAGGAGTTGTCACCACCACCGCCTCCTTGTCCACCGCTTCCCTGATAGTTGCCTCCATTGCTGCCAGAATTTGACCAACCAGTGCCCTGTACCCGTCCACTGCCGCTAACCCAATTCTGGTTCCGAGATTGCTAGGAAGGAATAAATTACATCAAATAAATTATACATCTGGGAGGAACTCTCATATTTTGTATAGTTTACCTGATCGAACGACTGGCGTTGTTCAAATGACTGAGGTTGACGTTGTTGTTGTGCTGCATTTGAATATTGCTGCCAGTGACCACCACCAACGCCACCGCCGCTGCCGCCACTACCACCTCTTCCGCCACCAAAGCTACCACCACCGCCACCAAAGCTACCACCACCGCCCCCGAAGCCACCACCACTGCCACCAAAGCCACCACCGAAGCCCCCTCTGCCACCACCACCACCACCACCACCACCACCACCTCTACCACCGCGGAAGTTACCTCCACCACCAGGCCCAGTGGAACGTTGTTGTTGCCAAGAAGGCATTTCTGGTGGAGGTGGTGCATGTTCATGCGCCCGTCCACCACGGTCTGGCACATTTCCTATCACATGCTTTTGAATTCTGCAGCCGGTATTTTTACGCACCTGTGCCGAGCTTGTTTTCTCTATGATAGCCAAGTCGGATCGCGCTGCTAGCAGAGCCACTATCGTGGTGTCATCCTTGGCATAGCGTAAACTATCCAGTTCTGGCATTTTCTTTTGATAACGTCCAGCAATTTCATTTTCCCTAGTTCTCATTTTTTCCGACCATTGAAAACTTTGTATAGTAACTTCGAGACGCGTTAGCAGCATTTGACGTCGCATGTTGTATTCAGCGTCGAGGCCCGACTGTATCGCATCTAACTTTTTCCATTGTGCATCTGAAAGTGGCTTTTTCAAACGTAATAAGGGTTCACTTAATACACCAGGCTTAGCTTGACGTTGTAGCTCCTCCACTTTAAAATTGAGTTTATCGAAGAAGGCCTTTGCAGACACATTCTCTGGTGGTTTGCCCAGACCAACATCCCGCGAAATCTGTTCCAATGAGCGCGCTGTATTTGTTTCAGATTTTGGGATTATAAGTTCTTGTTGAGCCGGCCGTAACCGATAATTCATTTTCGTTGCCATTAATTCGATTACAAGGTAATCGAGTAGTTGAGCGCAAGCTTCACGCGTTTGGAAGCGGTCAGAAAGCGGTCCAGCCACGAAACATTGATAAGGACAACCCAATTCTTTCAGCATTGCAGAAAGTTCCATTGCGAATTCGCTTGGATCTTGTAACTCCGCCACATGCTCATCGGTTTTTCGCAAAACATGCAGTTCTTCCGTCAACCAACCAACGACTTCACGAAAATGTTCATTGCGAGTGCCTCCTTCCAAAGCTTTAATCAGTCCCTCGCTTTTTAAACACGGTCCCTCATATGCTAGCGCGGATAAAGAATCTATTAATTCTAATTCACAGTCCATGGTTATTCACTGGAAATCTTATCCAGCTGCCGGTCCTATTTTTGCTTGCAATTGGGCTGCGAAAATGTGTATAAAGAGAGCTAAATGTCAAAATAGTATACAGACAAAACCAAAACCCACCAGTGTTGCCAGAAAAACCCATTCGAGGGAGCTAAAACGGTTGTTGAAAGAACTAAATCAAGGCGAATTTATGCAAGGTGGTGTTGATGGCGAATTAAATTTTCGCCGCGGTATTTCTTAATGTCAAAATGCTGTGTTTGTTGTAAACAAGGCGAATTCATTTTACAACAAACACATCATTTTGACATTAAGACGTACCTCGGCGAAAATCTAAATTCGCAATCAACACCACCTTGTATAAATTCGCCTTGAGCTAAATAAAAAAATTTGTAATTTTAGGTGCAATCCCGTATTCCTCGGACTCGGACTAGTAAAACTGTCAAAAAATAAAAATTCGCTCAGAGCGAGAGAGTAAAATTGAAAAGTACGGGATCGCTTTCTAGTAAAAAATGGTAACTTCTGTCAACTTCAACATAACCTCCAAATTTTGGTTGTAAATTTTTGCTTAGTTTGTATGTAAACACACTCAGCTCACACATGTAAATAACCAAAAATACTTTCAAATTCATTAGAATTCACTTAAACAAGTAATTAAATACTTTTCAACATGAATTAGCAGAGTGCACTTTTCTTTTGTTTACAATTTGG